CAAATGGACAACCCAAAGGCTAAATCACTTGCCACATAGGTATGACATGGCAAAATGTTGCCACGCAAGCGAGGTTCTAACGGCAGTTAAGTTGGCCGTAAGAAGAAGGGCTAAATTGCACCGATCGCAGAGTTCAGGGGCTTATCTGCTTCAATTAAAGTTTGGGGGCTTAATTGTGATTCTGGGGTTGGTTCAGGGGCTTAACTTATGGTTTTGCCTTTAATTTTTTGTATCAATGGGGGAGAAGTTAGGATTCTTATATTAATAGACTTTTGAATCACGTCCGAATGCCAGATGTGAATACAACTTTTCCCATTCTTCAATATTCGAGGTGTTTAATTTCTTTATATTAATTTTATGTATTAGTTTTATGCTTTTATTCTAACCATTGGATTATATAAGATTAAATGCATGTTCATGCAGCTGGTTGTCGGGTTTTTTTGGACTTCTAAAAGTTTTTAGATGTTTTAAACACTATAATTTGTATAAGAATATTATAATTTTTTATAATTTAATTTTTTATTCATTTTATTATAAATTTCAGAAATACTGAATTGATGTTTTTGTATAAACTTTTTATTTGGATTTTAATGAAATTAATATATTATTTTTATTTTTTTTATTTACAAAAATAATATTTTTACAACAATTTTTTTTTAACAAAATTTCTATTAAAAACCCCAATAACACTAAACGAGCACTAAATATCAATTTTAGTATTTTAATTTTAAGATTTTATATAATTTTATTTTTTAATTTTTGCATATATATATTTTTTAGTCATTCAATTATTATAAATGCATTCTTTTAGTTTTATTTTGTTAATTAGTTTATTAAATTTATCTATATATATTTTCAATTCTTAAACTTTTAGTTGAGGATTAAAAAAATACATTTATTATAAGTTAAGGAATTAAAATTGTGTATATTTACAAAAGAAAATTTTTATTTATTATAAATTAAAAAATTAAAAATATACATATCTAAACAAAATTAATAGATTAATTAATAAAAAGAAAACAAAATATTTTTTTATAATTAATGGATTAAAAAAACATAAGAAATTAAAAAATACAAAATTTTAAAATTAAAGAATTAAAATTCACATTTAACCCTTATATAAACTTATTCTACACTATTGAACCGAAATTAAACCTAGATAATTTGTTTTATTTTTCCTTCTTTTATCTTATTTCTTACCTGTGCTCATCCTCTTCTTCACATTCATCCACTTCAACCTTCTCTCTATCTTCCTGTACCCCTTTTCATCCCTTTGCCACCCGTTCTAATCCCCTCATTGTCACTGTTGCCGTCTCTATCCCCCTGGCACTGATGTTTCTCGAATTCCCTTACCACCTTGATGGTTCTCCAAATCTACTTTTACTACAAAGAGAAATCAGACCAAGGGTTATTCTCCTACTTCATCTCTCAGCTTATCCCTGAATTTCTTGTGAACAAGGGATTTTGCAAGGTTCAAATTCCTTGTTGATAAGTAGATTTCTTTTACTGTTTGTCCCATTATTGCTTTCTCCAAGGCTAATCTATTTTTGGTGGAGAATACTAGGAATTGGTTCTTTTCTAAGAAATAGTAGAAGATTAGAGAGCTTCCTCCATGCAAATTGGATCCCAAATGTGATGAAAAGTGGAAATTTTGGGGATAGAAATAGAGTACAGAAGCCTCTGAAAGATGTTTATCTCGATGATGATGAATGAGTATCTACTTTGTTATCTTGATAGTCATGTGTCTTGTGACTGAGAATGATGTTTGCAACAACATTCATCTGGGCATCGATCGTGCTTGTGCTGCTGCTCTGGCCTTACCAAAGAGTGCACAAGGAAATGCCTATGGCCATTTCTCTGGGAGGTTGATGGTAAGCTTCTCTTGATTCCTAGAAAATTTGGAAGTTGATTGTTTTGGTATATTTTTTTAACATAAGGGTGAAAGGAAATCTGTTGGTGGTTTTAATTTTTTTCTGGACTTTCTTATGGTTGCTGTTAAAAATGAGGGGGGAAAAGGAAAGAAAAGGGAAGCCCTGAAATTTAGCTTGGTTTCTTCATTTCTTGGAAAGGCATATCTAAATGGACAAAAGTCCAAGTTTCATTTGTATGCGTTTTGGGGAAAAGTTTAGGATATCCTCTTAAATCTTACCTCAGCAATCAAAAGGTTCTTCATTTCTTGGAAAGGCATATCTAAATGGACAAACTTCTTTTTGATGCTCATTTCACTTTTAGATTTCTCATTTATTTTGATTGCTGAAACATCACAAGCAGATTTAAGATGGTGTCAGTCTGTCTGATGATGAGCTTTGTTGAGTGTAGATATCTAGGTACTGTTACTAGACATGTGGTCACAACTTGGCAATTTGGTATGTCATCTAAAGCAGATTTCCTGAGTTCAGAATGTACTATTTTTTGTTCATTCACTTTTATTTATTTCATGCTGAAAATAGTTAAGATAGAGGAGGGTGTTTGGATTGGGAAGTCCATGTGGCAGCAGTTGGAAAGTGAAATTGAATGGAACATTGGATAATGCTACATTGTGAAGAAAAACGGAGACTTTAATGAAACCTAGGTGACGTGTGTGATCTTAGCTTTGAGGGCTTTAGCTGTAGAGGAACGTTTGTTGGAACAATTTATCAGCTTCGTAGGAGTTGTTCAACTTTTTTTTTGGCACCTAAAGAGAAGTTGTGATTTCAAAGTAAAACCGATAACTCCATAAGCTTACACAGTGCGCTTGTATGTATGGAGTTAAAGTACAATACACTGCAAATTGGAACCATTAAACAATATAAATTTGTCAGGTGAATCTTGACTTATGTGTTATACATCTATCTAACTTATGGATTGTTAATGTGGATCTTAGGAAATCCAGTGAAGATTGAAGTTAATGGCTTCATTAATAAAAGGGCTGTACATACATACATACATATATATATATATATAAAATATCGCAGTGTTATCAGTAGCAGATAGTGGCCAATAGTGGGAAGGTAAAAATCCACTATGATAGCGTAGCGGATAGTGAAGCGGCCGCTATTGACCAAATAGCGGCCTTTAAAAAGAACAAAAATATGGAAATTTAATAAGCAGAATGATGGACCTAATAACAAAAAGACTTTCAATGACTTAATAACTTAAGGAAAATAAGACAATTCTAAATGACCTTATAACTTAAAATGACTTAATAACATAATACTCTCAAGTAAATAAAGTCATAATAAACAGAGTAGATAGAGCTATAAGACAATAAAATAAAACACAAATGCAGCTGACAATTCCAATTCCTAAGAATTAAGAATTTAAAATTTATTATTTAAGAGAATCTAATAATCCTCATGCCTCTCTTCAGCTTCCAATCTTGTTAAATGGACAGAATTTGAAACCAGCAACCATCTTAGGATTCATTGAAAAATTTTCTACAACTTTTTATTTACATTCATACAAAAAGA